ATGATTTATATGTTTCGATTTTAGCTCCCATATTTCTTTAGAAAGTTCAGTGTCATTTTTATATTTGGGTGCATTGAAAGATTTAAGATGGTTGGCATATCTTAATTTAAATGTGGTTTCACTTATACCGAAATAAACTTTATCTTTGCATTGAGGATCACCAGAACTTACAGTGGCTTGGTATACGATATTGCTAAAAAGGCATTGGTTATTTAACGGACAAATATTTTTGTCTATGCAGTTACATTTTTTTGATGTTTTATTTTTATCGCTGTGTAAAATTTTGTTATTATGCGTATTTATTAAAGACTTGACATTAGGCATGCAACTATAGCTTACTTTAACATAGTTTCGATTAAAAATTTTATGAAGCCTGTGTCCTACTGGAAAGTGTCGGCCAATTAAAGCTAAAAAGCGATTTCCAATTTTAGTTTCAACATTTTTGCTAAACGGGGGGTTGTACCATATAATTTTACGTTTGCGATGTCTTTTTTGATTTTTGTTTATTTGCGGTTGGTAGGTGAGTTTTGAATTGTATCCTGATTTACGTAAAACCTCTTCATACGGAATAATTGAGTTATTGAATACAGTTTCATTTACTGCCATATTTGATAATCTTAACTCAATAGTGCGAGGGATTTCTTTTATTATATTAGGTGAATGGTTTGACTCTGAATGAACATACATAAGTTGGTTATTAGGTTTACAATACGGTTGATAAGAACTGTCAATCAGGTTCAATGTTACATCAAGAAAATTGACAATTTTAATATTACATTGGATGGAGATAAGTAGGTTGTTACTTTTAAAAATATGTGTAAAATGTTTTTTGATTTTTTCCATTTGCTGGCCGCTTTTGTTTTTAAAAATAGCAAGCCCGTCGTCACGAAACGTCGTCACTTTTTGAAAAAATCAAAAAACACATATTTTTAAAAGTAACAACCTACTTATCTCCATCCAATGTAATATTAAAATTGTCAATTTTCTTGATGTAACATTGAACCTGATTGACAGTTCGATTGCATATTCTAAAAGATTGTCGTTTAAAATGAAATAAAATGAAATTCGATAAAAAATTTCAATAAAGTAAAAATCAATGTTGAAGTTTTGAAAAATACACAAAAAATAATATTATACTTTATAATCTACCATTTTAAAAAGCTTTTGCTTTATCTTTCCAATTTTATAGAGCAACTTTGTTTCCCTGAGAATCCTTATTTGGTTTTTTACATGTTTTATCTGGTCAATTATTATGTTTTTAGTCACTAATGAAACGTATTCGAATGGTCCAGCAAAACCTTGGAAAAGAGGTGACTGGACTTTGCTATATAATTTTTTCCTGTTCACCATCGATTTTAATAATCATTCTGATGGTACTAAAGAATTTCGAAAAATATTTGCATCACTATCAATTTTGTTTTGAAATTTTTTTTTAAATTTTACTTGTTGCGGTCCATCACAGCCCCATTTTGATATTTAAACCATACTATTTCCTGAAGTGCAATGGCTTACTCTGACTGTATATGTCAACTCATCAACAGATACCTGCTTGCGCAGATCCCTAGTTTTTCGACGCTTAAAATCACTAAGCTCTATAAATGATTTTGATGGTTGTCCAGATTTCTGTCGAACGTTGATTGACCAATAAGGTAGTTTGAAGTTTGATTTGAGCCATTGTTTATTGTTTTTGATTAAACTTTTGTATTTATAACTTGCAGCTATCCATCTTTTCTTGAAATTGCTCTTAAAGAATTTTTTAAATTCTTGTTATGGTAATTTTTTGATCTCTTGGATATTTTATAACTGTTATAAGATGTTCTACCAACAACGAAAACTTTTCGTCAAATTTTTTACCTTTATAATCTTTCATTATTTTATATAACTCTCTTCGAGTGAACAATTTATTTTCAGACAAATCTACAAGATAAATAATAAAACAATAAATACAAAGCTGGGTAAAAGTGTCCTTAACAACCGATATATAAAATATACTTATTTGTTTGAGATTTTATAATTTAACATAATATATATTACGTGTTACGTATTTTGATTGTTTGTATAAAAATTTTTGAAAATTGGAACACAAGAATTTATTTTATAGCTGTTCTATGATTTATTATGAGATTATGTGTATTACGTAATGGTTTCACACTATTATCAAAGTGATGGCGGACGTTCTCGGTGTAGTTAAAGCGGTTTACAATTTATTCGATTTTTTTTATTTGAAACTAAGATGATTCTATTAGCGTATTATGTCCAAATAAAAGCTTTAGATGTTATAATTTTTTTTTGCTTCAGATTTTATTAATATTTTAAGAAGCTTTTTTTATATATAATTTTTAAAACCTTTTTACTACCCATAATAGCGAATCTAAAGAACACCATTTTGGAGTGTTTAGATCAATTCGCTTATCGGCGTTAACATTAACTTAGTTAAAACCTTTTAAAATAGTGCCTTTACCCACTATAGATTCTAGTTCTAATTGATTCTGACGTATATTAACTATATATAGTTGTCAAAATACAATATTTCTATCAATTTTCACAAAAAATACTAGAATTCCCACCAAGAAAGAGCTTATAATTACGGAAAATTGACAAAAACGATCAGAACAGATCATATTATTAAGCTATGATGTTTATTTCACCTAAAAGACGTATTTATTTATAATCATGTTCAAACTTGAACAAGCGATTGTAATTTTAAGTTGATTTTAAAAAAAAAGAATATTCGGTCTGGTTTTTTTTGCTAGAAACATTTGTATTTTATGATACCGTAAATTTTTTTTTTTTTTTTCAAAATTTACAGACCTGATCATTTAACGGCATTATGCCGTAGTTAACAAAATACCATACAGACGCTATAACATTTTTAAAATTGCCTTAGCAACACCGAATTGGCAGATAATTTTACAAAAGTATCTGATCATTAAAAGCCTATAATTATTGCTCGTAAAAAATATATAACTTGACACGATCATACTTGTTTACAAAAACATTATTATCTTATAATGTTATGTCAAAATTAAAACTCGAGTAGGCCATCATAAAAGCGCATTATACACAATAACAACAGAAATTTAACGTAAATTTATTTAAAAATATAGGTCATACCTTCCTCTGTCGTAATTAAAAGTTAAATTTTTTTAAATTGAACAGTACGATAATAATAGCTGGAATAATAAATGTCACATTTTATTATTAAGATATTATTAATTATAATCGCTATTTATTATTGCCCTACTTAATAGCTTTAATAGTTTTAGTAGTAGTAGTGTTCCTTGGAGCGTGTTTGACACGAAATCCTTGGCAGCCATTACAACCTAGGTATTGGCGAGAAAGAGTCTTTATAAGGAAACGCGAGCAAACGTGAAACTTGTATCGTACATACGTAAACTTCATGTTATGTTATTTTAAAGCAAACTAAAACATATATTAAGTTTTACAGTTTGACTTTCATTTAAAAACTGCATTTCATCAACCTCTTCGTAATTTTTGATCTTCAGCATCTATCTTCGTTAAAAACAATTTTTTTAGTGGTTAGCGCGTTGAGCTTCTCAATGAGAAAGCCGCGGTTCGAGTCCAAGCACCGGACTCGAACCGCGGTCTTTTTTAAAATCTTTTAGAATATTAAAAAAATATTTGTGAAGTTAAACAAGTTAAATGTAACGATGTTATACGCTTTAACATTTTTTTTTTTATAATTTTTTAAATTTTTAATAAAGCAAAAAATTTTAAAAACACGAAAAAACAGGGGGAAATTTGTTGCTTGTGTGTCATGATTAAAATACTGTGCTCATGTAATTAGTCCTAATAAGCTGCGGATAGCTGGGAAAAAAATGATCTGAAACTTAAAAAAAAGTTTTAAGAAATTTTAAAAAGACAATCCTGTTACTTTAGAAAGTGGAGGCAAAAAAACAAACAGAAAAGCCAAAAATGCTAAAACGTCATCTTCTTAGTTAAGCCAAATCCGGTAATAAAAATAGGTCAACTAAACATTTAAAAATTATCCAATTTTTGTATTATGATATGTGCGCCAACTGAACTCCTAAACCGCTAAAAATATGCCACGAGGTCTTTTCCAATTCGTTTCTTAGAGCTTATACACATTCACGTATCGTTAGTAAGTTTCATCTTTTTCGTTTACAAGTTTACTTATTGTATTTTTGCATAAAAAAAATTAATGTTAATTCAGAAATATATAGTAGATTATATTTTTATGAATATATTTTAGAAATGAGCATTCACATATATAAGTTTTTTCTGTTTGTATTTTATGCTAAAAAACAGATAAAAATTATTTAATTAATATACCTAGCTACCCTAGGCCCGTTTTACTATGTAAGCGAAAGATACTATGACTCAAAATGAGGTTTGATTTTTCAAAAAAACGAAGACCAGATATATAACTGATTTAGGGAGAAATGTAGGAGAGTGCTGCTACATTTACTAATTTATGGATAACATGCAAAATAACATCGACCGAGGTTTAGAGTTGGGGCAGGTACAGATCAATTGATGTAGCAGCACTGCAACATTTCTTCCCAAATCAGTAATATACATGGGTTTTTTTTTGGTGGATGTGTACATAATTCACGGGGTTAGGGGAGGGAGGCAATCTTAGTTGATTTCAAATAAAAAAAAGGCTAAAATAAATCATCTTTATTTTTGACACGTGGATCAAGTACACCTGCGCCTTCGTTTTTTTGAAAAATCAAAACCTCATTTTGAGTCATAGTATCTTTCACTTACAATTTTACTGGTCCTCAATGGCTTTGCGAAAGATTATTTTAATTAGAGGTTTAAAGTTTTTTTTCAGATCAGCTAGTTATTATTATTATTATTATAGAAAATAATAAGGTTAATGATTTTAATACTAACTTGATTTTTTTAATTTTGAGCGGTTTTGTTATACAAATACTTCACTGTGCGTGATAAACAAAGGCCTTGGACTTTAATAAAATTTTATTTTTTGAATACTGTTTTTTTTCGTTTTAAACAACAATCTTTCAGAATCTGCAATTGATGTTATTAGTAAATTCCAAGGTGGTTGCAAAAGTGTATTAGCGCCATTCTTTCCATTTTTTATACTATTATAAAACTATAAAATCTTTTAAAAGTTTTTTTATTATATATATATATATATATATATATATATATATATATATATATATATATATATATATATATATATATATATATATATATATATATATATATATATATATATATATATATACAGAGGCGATTCTACAAATAAAATGAGGGGAGTAACACCTCTAACACCTAGAGGTAACACCCCTATCCCGTAAAATCACATCTATGTCTATATATATAATATAGTTTCAAATGTTTTTATAGTGTAACCAAATGATCGAAGAATTTGAAGACGACATTTATGATTGGTATCTTAAAAACCAAAGTGAAAATCCACTTGAGTTCATTTGCGCTGATAAAGTACTTACTTCAAAAGAACAAGGTAAGGGAGAAGTATTCTGAGGCCAATTACTGAAAAGTAAAATTATAATGAAATAAAATCAACTTAATGTCTTTTAGATTGTTTATATGCATCCACAGAAGTACCTGATTTTGCAACACAACCTAAGCCAATAGATAAAGATGAATCGACAAAGCGAAATTTCCATAGAGGAGCAAATTTAGAGCTTTAATTAACGCATATCTAATAGTAGTTGTCATAGTTACTAGTTTCTTTCTTATTTTATTGTGTGATTTTTTTTACAAAAATCTGTTGTTAATTAATTTATTTTTTTCAAGTAGAAATTTAATAATAGTTAATGTTAAATTAAATATATGTTAACACTATTTCATTTAATATTTTAATATTACGTCAAAACAATATTTATATTTGTATATAATACTTGAAATATATGCGTAAGGATTGGAAGTAATAAATACATTGAAAAAAAAAAGTTTTTTTAAATGTTATTATTAGCTGATTTTTTGGGAATAACTGTTAACAATAAGTTATGAATTTTAATTACTTTCTTTCAGAGACCCAAGTAAAATAAATCTTCCAAACGTTTTTCAGTTTTCTTGTTGGCGTCTCACAGTTTAGCTTCATAACTTTCTTGAATTTTGTTCGTTATCTCTGGCACTTGTTTATGACCTATTTTTGTCGTTTATCTACCTAAAATTTCTGAAAAAACAGGTGAATGCATTTTATCCACAATTGATTAATTTATAAACCGCAAACGGAATATTTTACAGTAAATATTGATTGTGCATCGTCAATGCTTTAAAGCTTTTTTAAAACTAGCTGTCATGACCCGTAAAATAAGGTCTTGGTAAATTACTTTCATATCACCTTTTCTATACTTATTCCTCACTTCAATATTTTGCAGTGAGCTGTAGGAAAATAGCTATATAGAAAAACTATATTTATTGTTTCCTTCTTAAAGTTATAAAAATAAAAATTTCTGTTATAATCAACCTTAATAAACTTCAAACATTACGGTAACCGTTGCGTTAATCGCCGATTGGATATTATTACCTGTCTTCAAAAGTGACCATCGGTATAAAAAGTTTTACCCGACCGGACCCGTAAAACACGGGTCTTTGTAAGTCTATCCCACATCGATCTTTTCTATACTTTTTCTTTATATGTATACCCTAGCTTTCAGGACCAGTAAAATACGGGTCTTTACCAAACTATTTCTATACTAACTTTTTCCACACAGACCATTTCTTACTAACTTTAATATTATTTGGTAAAATAAAATCATTCTAAAATTTTCTAAATAAATTGCTTTAATCGCGGGTCCTGACAGAGTTAGCAAAAAAAAATTACCATGCGCAACTTTCCCGTTTACGGATTTTATAAGGATATCTTATATAAGTGGATCTTATAAGAGATTTATAAAATAGTTTGTTTTTCTCATAAACGTAGAAACTCTATTCCACATTAACTTTGTCTATATTTCTCCTTCTAATATTTTTAGTTAACAATACATTAAGAGGAAAAATTTAAAGCTTATTAAAACCTTTACCCCGTATATTTATTTGGAATAAAAAGTTCTAAAGTTAACTACTAAAAACATTTAAGAAAAAAAAATGTCTCTTCACGTCTATAGTAAAACTTTTACCCTCTCATTAATATAATATTTATTTGCAAAGCAATTGAGAACCAGTAAAACAGGTCATGGGGAGCTGGGCGTGTCAAGTAAATTAAATTGATCAGTTTTTCTGCATAAAACAAAAACAGAAAAAACTCATATATGTGAAGTACTTGATGTAAGGACAGATTTTTTTTTTGTTTTTGTTTAGGTGCCCCAAGAAGTCCTTACGGTCTTTTTACAGAGCATTGCAGAAGTGCAGATAATATTGGATTTAGATAATTCAATACAAAGTGATAGGAAACCGCATAATAACGTTAAAGTTATTCAAATACTAATTTACAACTATTTGAATATCAATTTCTTAAATTAGCTTTTAGTAAATGCTATGAAGCTTGATGATTCTTCTTCGCCTAAAGAAAATGATTAACGATTTAAACGCTTTTAAATTGATTATAAAAGCATGAAGTCTACCTAAAAATGAAATAAAATCATTATTGATAAAATGAATGTACATTTACATGTATTATGTTAATTCAATTTATAGTTAAAAATACAAAAAAAAATTTAGTCCATATTGAACAATAAATACTTTGTGAGATTTCTTTTGTAAAAGTCTTTAGGATTTGATTGGAAAGCTGGAAACACTATTTTTTAAAAAAATCAGTTTTATAAACAATACTAAAGATAAAAAATCACACTGAGATAAAAAAAATAAGGCCTTTATTCTAAAAATATTTCTTAGGTTTTAGTGAACGATTAGGAGTAAGTTTCAGTAATGAAGCTATCCAATAATTATTTTTAACGATAGACTAACGTGATGGTAAGCCAAACTGTCTATCAACACAAAACATCACAACAACATTATGCGATGACAAACATCAACACCAGTAGTGTAGGCAGGATTTTTGATGTTTCAGATATATATATATTTTAAAGCTGTTGAAGAATTTAACTTTAGTATGTTTAAAAACACAAACTTTTAAAAACATATTTGTTGCATAGACTTTCGCTCACATAGATAAAAATACAAATCATTACGGATTGTGGTTCCAAAAAAAAGATAAATACACTACCGCACATAATTATTCGAATGGTAATATTTTTTGATATAACATATCAAAGTTGGAAGAAAAACTGAAAACAATATCTGCCTGAATTATATGTTATCTTCCTATTTATTAAGTTTACAAATAAAATTACCCTGATTAGTTTATAATTTGTTAAAAACCCTGATTAGTTTGTAATTAACTTGCCTATTTATCACACTTAGTAACAATAACCGCCATATATTTTTGGTATTCTACTTAACGACTTATCTTATTAGGGACCCAGGAAAAAAAGTTCTATAAAATTTTCTATAAACTTTTGAAACATATGGCCTATAGAAAATTCTATAAAATTCTATAAAATTCTATAAAATAGATATAAAATAGATATAAAATAGATATAAAATAGAAAATTCTATAAAATAGATAATTCTATAGAACTTTTTTTCCTGGGGATCATCCAAAAATTATCAGGTACCCAATAAAGTTTGTGCGATTTTGCAGGTCCATAAATAAATACATAAAAAAAAGGTTTTAGTAAATTTGTTCTGAAAAAAAGTCTCTTTAAGCAATAATGACTTTCTCCCATCGTGAAACAAGCTTGTATATCCATTTTTATAAAAGTCTTGAGTTTGGGAGCTAAAAAATTGATTTAACTCATTTTTGAGATCTTCTCTATTTTGAAGCTGTCGATTCCTCAAATGATTATTGAGGGCCAAAAACAGGTGATAGTCGCTTGGGGCAATCTCTAATGAATACGGAGGCTGAGGTAGAATCTCCCTCAAATTGTAAACGTGCTAAAGTTTCCCGCGTGATTTTTGTGGTGTGCGGTCTGGCATTGTCCTGGTGGAATACAACACCTTTTCTGTCCGCCAAAGCTGCTTGTTTTTGGTGAAGAGCAACCGAAACTCTGTCCAACTGGGCTGAGTATATCTCAGCACTAATGATTTGTCCACTTGGTAGCAATTCATAGTGAACAATATCTGCTATAGTCCACCATACACACAGTAAAACCTTTTGTTGGTAAATACGTGGTTTAGGAGTCATCGGTACTGGATCGCTATTGGCTAACCAATGATATGTTCGTTTTTTGTTGCAGTACATAATCCATTTTTTGTCGTACGTCAACATCCGGTCAAAAAATGGTACCAAATTGTGGCAGGAAAGCAATGAAGAACAGATGGTTAAGCGTTGTAGCTTGTTTGTTTCACTCAACTTATAAGGTACCCATTGGCTCAACTTCCAACGTTTTTCAAGTTAGTACAAATATGAACGAATAGTTTCATCAATAACATTAAATCTTAAGGCAAGGTCCTGACATGTTTGGCTGGAGTCCTGTTCGATTGCCAGCTTGATATCCTCGTTGTTGACGATGGATAGTTTTCCAGATCTTGGTTGATCTTTAAGGTTTTCATTTCCAGAAGAAAATTTTTTGAACCACTTTTGACACGTCCATTCTACTATGGTACCTTCCCCAAAAGCAACGCATATTTTACGACAAGCTTCTGCAGCTTTGGTGTCAAGTTTAAACTCTTAAAGTAATATGACACAGCCATACTCAACTTAAGAATTTTAAATTTAAACCGCACTAATAAAACTTATGAACACACTGATTGATTCTCCTCGAAACAAGTTTCAATTTAAAAAATTATCTCCATACCACAACCATTATCGTATAATACTTTTGTTAGTAAATAGAAATTAGGAAAAACTGCACGAACTTTATTGGCTACCTGATACGTAACGCAAACTTTCACAATAAACAAAACAAAAAAGATTAAAAGTTTTCTCTCGCAGAGTCTAAATTTTAATATAAAATCAAAATTTCTCAGAAATTTTAATATAAAATTAAAATTTCTCTTTAGTATTTCAAAATACAGCAAAACTCTGCACTCCTCTCCTCATTCCTCTCACATTCCTACTTTAAAATCAATGAAGTATCTATCATCCTCGTTCAAAACAAATTGAATCTGTTTATCAGATTACTGAGCAATCCGACTTGTTTTTCCTTGATTTTAACTCAAATATCTAATGTTAATAAGGGTAACTGCTTTATCAACGAAGTAATGAAAATTTGCAACCGCCTGGAGCTAAGCTTCATTCAGTGTTTGGTTAAGGGGGAAAAAATCATTATCAAACGTTGTAACGATGACGTAGAAAATAATATAGCGAAATTTTAAACCAGTCCTTTAAATTCTGGAACATCAGAGAACAGAGAATGATATTCAAAAATTTGATGGAAGAAAGCATTCTAGGAAGAATCTAAATTAGAACTTCAACTTAGAGTATAAACTATTAGTTTTATGGCCTTTGTGTTTTTTACCTGTAATTTGGGTGATAAAAAAGATAAATAAATAAATAAAATACCCCCATTAAGTATGAAAATCGCCGCGTAAAAGAGCTTAATATCTCCTACTTCCGTTTTTTAAATAAATTTTGCGTTGCCTAATTTATGGACGATCCCTTTGTTAATTTTATGTCACTAAGTTTTTTCAAAAAAGAAAAAATACACCAGATGAAAAAAAATTATGATATGGTAAAAGTAAAAAATATAACATATTAATACTACAAATCAACTTGCCTGCTGCTGATATTTTTTCTATAGCATTGTTAAAAATGGTCAAATTCCGAAAAGGAAAAGAATTTATTCCAAAGACATTTACAAAATAAAAAAAAGCATGAAAGCTATCAGTGCAAACGAATTTTGTAAATTGATTAAAAACTATAATAATTTTTACCTTGATTGCGACAAACTCATTTCTTTTTAAACTATTAGCTAACGAACAACAAAGTAAATTTTAAATAATTAATGTTTACTAAGTTA